AGCAGTTCTTTGATATCATCATGCTCACCCCAATCATATATTACTATAACAAAGGAGGCAACTGCGAAACCGCAGTCAAGGTTAGATCGAGACATCAGCTTCAACATCAAACTGCTCTCCACGAACCTGCAAAATAGCTAGACAAACGATATGCATTGACGGTCGGCCACAAAGTGGGATCATTTGAGACTATGGTCATATTGATAGAAAATGGGGGTGTTAGGCATATCGCATCGTGAGGATGCCAATAAATAGTTAGTGCGGAATCTGATACAGGACACATCGCATTCAATTTGCAGCGTGCGGTTGATCGGATGTGGATGCATCGATTGGAGACGAAGGTCCGAGCATCGTCCACAGGAAACCTTCAAATTATGCTCTGAAAGATTGATGATTATGTTCTCGATGAGGGCCGTCAGCTGAGCTTTAACTGTTGGCAGCGCCATTAGAAATGTTAGAAAAAGAAGAAAATGCCACGAAGTAACAGTCAACCTGGGCTGCAATATTACAGGAGTGAGAACAGTAGGGGCAGTGATACTCTTATGTAAACGCACGCTACGCTAAACCCATTGTGCAATTGATGTATCTTGTCTATCGTATGAAAGCATGAATAACCAATTTGCGAATGCGAAATACAGCCTCTACCAGTGTTTTTCGTTAATTGCGGTGATTTTCTGATATGCTTATACATGGCTTGACAAGCCGCCACGCGTCACCGCCGGTTGTCAATATGATTTTGAGTGAAATTCCATTCAAGGACATGGAAAAGAAGACTCAGGAACGCTGTTATGACCACATGAAGCCTGACTTGTGGTTCTTCAAACTATCGTAAAACCTGATCGACGAGCCTCAGCAGCGTCTATATCCCAGGGCTCTTGATTGTGTGATAACTCACCCCAGCCACACAGTTACCAAGGCACACTCCTCAACGCGAAATCAACTGAAAACCGATGCAAAACTTGGTCTAACAACGGCCTAGGTGTGATGTGAGGTTCGAAGAAGCTTGGCATCTCAGTGGCTCTCGATGAGCATCGGCGTCTCCGCTTCACAAGCCCGAACGTAACAGCGCTTCCGAGGTCGTTCAACAAGGTGAGCTTATACTGGACATGTAAAGTCTTTAAACAAAAGAGGTCCAAACGAAGCAGACAGATGACTCATCTGTCAAGCACACCTTTCAATACCCCTGCTCTCCCCTTCTAGCCCTCCATCTTGATCATCGGCCTATCATATCACGAGAATGTCGTTAAACGGTAAGTGCGGAACTGATACAAAGCGCACCATACTCGACGGGTATCAATCGTCACAGCCTGACTCAAGGTCCATGGTCCATGATTGATGTGCGGAGATATCATCCTTAGATTACACACAGAGATGAGTGGGTACTGGGAGAAAAGAATATCCAGGCGTCGTCCTTACTCACAGGATGGAGGCTAAAAAATAGTCATCGGCTAACGTGGCTAGTAGCATGCAGTGCGGCGGCCCTAAATTAACGACCGTCGACCGTGCAACTTCAAGTTGATCTTGGTCCTGGGAGTTGAATGTAGAAATAGGAACGCTCGCACCGGCGCGTCAGTGACCGCATCAAAATCACTATGTGCGCCCTTCTCATTCCTGTGATACTACAGCCTAATGAGCGAGATGGCAAATGCCAGAAGATCGCGAGCAGGACGGTTAGTCTGTGCTGTTTATTTGCATACGGGCTATGGAGAGAAACGGAATTACATAATGATGTGGGTGTACATCCGTTGCGCGCATAATCTGGATTTTGCAGCTAGACACCAAGCTGACTTATTGCAAAGTGAAACTGAGGATGGCCAAATACACTTGACGATCCACTCAACATATTTTGTCACCAAGTCCTCCATTATTGTACAGTCTCACTGAGCCATTCAACCATCTCTCTCTCTTCAATACCGTCGAATTAATAATCACTGCGAGCTTCTTCAAGAATCGACGTATCTGTGCCAACCCGATTGAATGAGCCAGCTGAGTTTCTCAGTAACGCACGTCTAAGTTCTATGATATCCACGCTGTCAAATCACTTTCCCTGCTCGCTAGCAGTACTAGTGTGCTGTACATCCGCAGATATATTGAAGCGCGGTGGTCCACTGTGAGTGGCCTTAAAATCTTTCCACAATTCCCGTCTCAACCTCACAGGCTTTCAAGTTCAGCTCCGGATTATCGTCCTTACCCACGCATCACCGAGTAGTCCTGTCCCGACATCTACTGATCATTCGCTGGTCATCCGGAATATGGATCCAATGTTGTCACCCAAGGTCATTATCGATGTCAATCGATTTCGTGGCGGCTAACTTGATTGGCACGAAGGTCATGGCTTATCGGCGAGCGAAACAGTCCAGTACGGGAAAAATATCCTCTGGATGTATTTGAAGGTGCAGTCAGCTCTCCTTGTGTGCTATGGCCTGGCATTGTCAGTCGTTTGAAGTTTCGCTCTGGAACACTTTGCATTTAAACTGTTCGTCAGTTCGTCCGTTCAGGAAATTCAGATTGAGAGTTGATCTTACCGAGAGCCTGGCAATTATAGAGAGGGAAATTTTGTACAGCGTGGTCGTCCTTGTAAGGTGTGCTATTCGCTTCCCGACTCACAACCATGACCGAAGTTCCTGTGCTAGAGTGTTAATCTCCTGGCACCCGCCAGTGTTGCTGTGAACTTCTCAGTGGGGTATCTGGACCTCCAAATATTTGATATGCTGTAGCATTCATTCTTTCGTATTCACGTATAAGCTTCGTTGCAGTTTCGCTTTGGACGCTAGCGGATGCGTGAACAGTTGCTATTGAACATTGCACGGACACCACTCTCCTCATGCCACCAGGCAACCTCGACCGCTCTCGGGTACACACTCATCTTCCCGTTTTTCCAACCAACCGAAGCAACCTTGAAGCGGTGCGTGAGGAAGATGTACGGAGCCTCGCCGTATGATCACCAAAACCCGCGGTTCGCCTATCCAGGGTTCAGTATCAGACGTCCACGATTCGTTTATGTTCTACACCATCATTCGATATTCAACGTTCAACCTCCTATTTCCGACTCACGCCAACTGGCTTACACGCGTATGCACTGTCGCGCTGTTTCATGCCCCATGGGCACAGACATGGACAGTACCTATATATATGCTGCATGGTGGCCACAGGACCTATAGCAAATGATTCGAATAACTACTACGATAGAAATATTGCCCAGACCTGTCTCCTTGAAATCTACTTTCGGAACACCACAAAACTGGCTAAGTACCGCAACGAGACTTGGAAGGGGGACGAAAACCCAAATTTTCCTTCTCCCTACAGACAACCAGACAACTGTCAACATCTCCCGTGTTACACACCATTGCCAGTCGATATATGCACACGCTCCTGGAAAGCGATTGAGGTCATGCCGGTTGCTGCGTCAGAGTCGGCCACGAGCTTAGAGTGGAATTCTCGAACGCTAAGGACCAGGCGGGGTCCCAACACAAACATCTGCACGGACGTCAATATTTGAGAAATACCGAGACAAATCTGGATTCCTAGGGAAGATTGGTCCTACAGAAATGATGAACCATGGTTGCATGCAGACGTCAGTGAAAGATCGACATACCGTTGAGTACAATGAAGAGAGAAAAACAACGAGGATAAAGCAAGAAACAGCGATAAAGCTACCACGTCCGACCTTTCAGTGGAAAAAGGGAACAATACTCACAATATGAACTCACCTCGCAAAGTAAAACACGTGAGCTTTGATCAACACCGTGAAACAGTCCCCGATAATCCTTCCCGCCGAATGTTGTCGCAGTTCACGGAAGTGTTTTACCGCAATCCAGACTGCGAGACACAGTGTGAGGACCTCCCACGCAATGGCAAATACCCAAGTAATGGCATTCAGAAGTGTGACATCTTCCGTATCGCCAATCGAGCACTGGTAGGTGCCCGAGAGAATGAGTTCCTCTGGTATTAATTAATGAGGCCCGTGCATTTTTTGTCCACAATTAAGCGTACCCCCTGAAGCATGTATCGTTGTCATTATGGCTGTCACTCCGTTGAAAATATTGTCAGCCAGGAAGGTCACAATGAGAAATATCAGGATCTTTCTAGATTGTTGATACATGGCATGCAACCGAGTGATCATGATGACTTGTAGCATGTTTCAGTCAAGTCGATATCACTGAGTTCTCGCAAATGCTAAGCTCACCCGACACCATTGCAAATGCCAAAACACTCGTCCAATTACATATGACGAACAATATCCGGCCTGAGGAATCCAGTCAGTGATCAGCTCCGGGTAGCACACTCCAAACAGACTCACATCTGTGGCAGTATAATGTGGCAGTCATCAGTGAACGAAGTTGGTAGAACATCATACTCACCCCTACAGGGCGCCGCGGTTAATTGGAAAGGAATAGCAGGCATTAGTGAAGAAGACTCACTGCATCTGTGATCGTGATCGTCGGAGTGCTACCTGTATGCAGCCGGTCAGAAGAAGCAAAGACATCGAGAACGTGAGAAGACATACCTACTGTGCCCAAGCTGATGGTGAGGGATAATTCATAAGTACAAGCATAGTCCTGAGCCTTCCAAACATACACAGTATATAATATTCCAAGATAGCGCACCTAGGATACTTTCAAGTCAGTACAGCATGACAGCCGTGATGGCAAGCACTGGCAAGCTACATACACCGAGATACATAACTGTCATCAAGGACCAGCGTTGCCTCTAGAATCAAATGTATTTTCACGTGTGTTCCTCTGACATGACTCTGCTCACCCAAATCAGTTCTACCTATAAAACCATTCTTAGCGAGATGGCTGCTCTGGTCATAACATCAACATACCTCTTGTCCGAATGTAAGTGCTGAAAATACTTGTAAGATATCAGCAATTCTTCAATACTATTATGCTCACCCCAGTCATACACCACTACAACAAAGGCGCCAACTGAGAAACCGCAGTCGAGGTTAGATTGAGACATCAGCTTCAATATCCGACTGCTCTTTACGAACCTGTAAAGTAGCTTAAATCACGATATACATTAATGTCCGGCCACCAAGTGGGATCATTTGAAACTATGGTCATATTGGTAGAGAATGTGTAGGTGAGTGATGAACTTGGTAGACGTATGGCGATGGCATATATACTACTACCCAGTGCTTGGATCGGCACAATGAGATCTAGGGTGACGTCGGTTCCTGCCTCGGTTAACCAACATCCAGGGGCAGAGCTGTCCATGATTTCTAACATACCTCGAATACAGACAGAAATAAGAGGCACTGGGAGAAAATAAGACCCTAGGCTGGGCGTTGCCCTTACGACCACTGGAAGCCTTGAAGTTGACAGGCTCGTGCCATAAGATATTGATATCCGATGATGGTGCTCTCGATTAGCGCAGCGGGCTTGCCGAGTCTCAAGTCACTGCCTGTTGGCACGTCATCAGAAAGTCAGAGATGGAGAAGATGCTACAAAGTAATAATAGTACTAGTCATTTCTGTGGGTTCCCAATGCACGCCCTCAAAGTTCAGCGTTCGAGGCTTAATTCAATGCGGCATGCGCCGCTTCCCTCATCCTGCACAAATCTTCGTTCCAGGAATCTGTCGCCTCGCGCGCAATTCGCCATCTCCTGTCCCAGTTATTTGGCTGTCATATCACAGGAATGAGAACAATGTAGTGGTGGGTAATGCCGCTATGATGAAAACACGCACCACGCTAGATCCATCGTGCAATTGATTGAATGCTGTCGGGATGGGAGGTAGGGAAATAGCTAGCATTGTTAATTGTGCAATGCTGTGGACAGAAACAGAATAGCATGTTGAGAACGACGTCGACTACGCACCATCCATAGGTAGACCTTAAATAAAACCCCCTGATCACAATCCTTTTCCATATCCTCCGCGGCGTTCTCGAGGAGAAGATCAAGAATGGATAAGCACAGCATTCGATAAGGGGGTGTCACACGATGTCAAAAAATGATTACGCCGAGCGGCGAGAGGCCAAAATAAACCAAGAAAAGAATCCGGCGAAGAGTTTTTGATGAAATGTAAAACCACTCCGTGACCGCGTTAGACAGCCCGAGAAGATCAACGCGAACATCCGTGAGAGGTATATACGTCCTCATGTGAAGCCCCGTTTCGAAGACCAAACGAAGTAAGCCCGACACCATCGGCGAGATGCACATTTGGCGAAAAATTTGGGGTACGTCTATGCGCTTTGGGATGCGACCATTTTTGCCCCTAAATTGTGCGACTGTACGGGGGGGAGACAGACAGACCTTCCAAGGATCCTTGGGATGGACGTAAATCAGTTCGTCCTTCTCAAACCACGCATCAGCAGCTGAAACTTCGATCTTGAGGAACCCAGCCAAATCCTTTACATCGCTCGCTTGAGCTGTGAACAGTTTATAGTTCGTGTTAACCGACAGCTGAGTCGTGAACCTTCGTTCCACGCTCTTCGTTAGAAGATTCGCAGAGATTCCGTCCAAGTCAGATGTAGGGAGGAATAAGTTGGGAGAACAATTTCACACAGCTGTATGTATCGGATTGTTAGTTGATCTCACGACACTGTCGAGAAGCTGTTGAAAGACTTACACGAATTTTGCGTGCCTTGTAGCTACGACATACATTCCCCCAACACCAATTCCTGACGTCATCCTCATTACAAGTGCTCTTGGGGGTAGTCCGTGCACCGAGCTTCCAGTGGAAGAACATGTTAGGAACAACAATTTTCATACCGTTGTCTTTGCTCTCGATTCTGTTAAGGTGTGGCAGGCGGTAGCAGTAGAAGTTGTCATCGACATCGGGACAAATATTCACAACTCCTACAGAAGCTGGCTGCCATGCTGGCCAGATATATCTAACGCTAGGCTCACCTAGTCTAGTCAATTCACAGCATGTCAAGAGAATGGAAACGACGTACATTGCTTATGGACATTTTGTGAAAGATTCACCGGCATATTGAGCGGAGGCCGAAGCATTTAATAAAGCCTGCTGTTTTCTCCTCGAGTGGGATAGAAGATCGAAAAATGTGCGTTTGAGAAGAAAGCGTGGGCTAGAGGGAGACCGCAAGATATCTAGGTTGTGGGGTTTGCGTTGCGTTTCTGTGAACAGAGCACTCTAGGGACTGGTGATGGTGTGAATACGAGCGATGCTTCCTCGGATCCGAGTCCACCCCAACGGATCCCGCCCCTACTATCACCGAGACTGTCCCCACCGCAGGAGAGCAAGAAGCAAATAGAGATGGAGGACTATATTGAGGAGGCGTTGTCGGGAGGTGATCGTGTATGGCTGACAAGAAGAACAGGAATTTGCAAAGAGCGCGAATTGATGCTGAGTTGCCGGGTTACGAATGCTCCCGAGTCGCGTGCAAATTCATGGACAGACCTTGCTCTCGAGACGTCCTGTATGAAATCACTCGCTCAATGGCCCCTATACTAACTTGACTCTTGATCATACTAACACCTCCTGTGAGGCAGTGACGATCATTCATTTTGCAGGTGGCAGCTACACTGATCCGGGTGGCACTGGACAAGAATGCTTGGCATACTCCTTCTTTCATTTCTGATGAACTTTGACATCTATATCATACGGACCTTTATAATCCGACGTCGGGACTTGACAGGCACCGCCATACTTTTTGACCTCCAACACACATCTTACTTTCAAGTATAAGTTTGTATCCCTCGCTCAGCCTTATGTCAAGATTCGTACTTTCTCCTCTCGATGATTGCACTCCACCCTTGGAAGAGGAGCCACCCATAATCTCGCTATTGCTCTGCTGTCTCAATTGGAGAAACGAGGATGGAAAATGGTTGATATGCCCGAAGAGTTGCTGAGGGAAGTCTTCGAAGTTCCGAGTTTGTCCCGCCAATAGCCACATTCACAAGACAGCCCTCCTTGCACTCGGAACATCCGTTCTGCATATGGCTTGAAGCACTGGTGCAAATGGTATTGCTCAGACGGCGCGTAACTATCATAAACTTTCTCCGCCCTTTATCGAACGATATGGCGCTGAGGTTCATGTGTTAGCCAATAAAACCATAACAATGAGTTTGATGACTTACTGATGAGAGGATGTAGCTGGGCCATGTATGTGACCATCCACATAAGATAACATGATGCCAGCGTAAGCATGATGGCCGTACGAATTGTCCTGCATTTGAGGGTATTAGTTCGGATTTTGATAAAACAAAGAAAGCATACGTTTGATGCGTGCCCTTTGGAACGAAGAGGTAGCCGCAAGCTATTAGTCCTAGGACTATGGCGAGTATGAAAATCACCGGGATGACGGATGCCATGAAAAGTTGTAGGAGTCCTAGTGGCAGAAGTACTAGGTTAGCCTGAGCGCAGCGGGCACACATTATATCTCACGTGACACGTTACTACGGTATCACCGTGTCACGGATCACAAAATTCGTTCACATGTTCTTGCCCTTGTTCCTCGAAGTTTCGATGCTTATTTTTACAACTTTGAATCTCATTCTTTGCATGAAGTCCCAGTGCATGTTACTGCTGCTTTAAGATGATACCCCAAGGAGTAAAGGTATCGTAACGTGCATTCAAACTGTTAGCATCTTGACAAACGACTCCTGATCGATGGAACAAGAGATAGACACTCGAGTTTTCCAAGTAGACTACAAGGGAAGGGAAGATGCTTCAGCCTGGACCGCACGATGTGGGATGTGGATGCAGCCAATTGGGGAGGAATCAGAGGGAGCGCTAGGATAGGAGCGCTATGATACGGCGATCGCGCGAACTAGGGCAGGTACCGAAGAAGCAGAAAGAAGGTGTCTATAATTATCCTCGGTAGTGGAAATAACCAAGTCCTACAGGAAACTCCGCTAAGCTTCCTGTCAACGGGAGCCTGGAGGTGCGGTGGGTTGTCGGCTGCTCGGGACCTCGGGTTGGATAGGTCAGTTGATTGTTGGCCCCGCTTGGATCTCCCTTACATTCTATGACTGATTTTCCGCCGTTAGAAAGGAATAGCTTCGAAGGGGTGTTGGACAGGTGTCGATACAGTCTCACCGACAATTTGAGACGAGTTCATATCATACTGTAACTCAAGGCGCCTAAGGCTCGGTTCGATCAATGAATCACATGATTTCAGTGATAGAAGTTAAACAGAGTTCAATTGTAGAAGATCTGCAGAACGAACGCCAGCGGTGCCACTTCAATCGTTGCAACCATCGCATGCGTGACTGCCTTGCATTTTTATGACGAATTGGTCGGGTCCGAGGGCGGATTTCTCAGTCCAGTCCGCAGTCTAATGAGTAGGTAGGGTAGTAGCATGTTGTCGTCTGGGGACTCGTCCACCGATCATGGCTCTACCCGACTTCGTGGGAAACTACTTACTCTCGTTTAATGCAGGAACCAATGTCCTCAGAATCATATGTATTTCCTGACTCCTCGGGCTTGGCATACTGATGTCAGTCTCCCATAAAAACCCTGTCGTTTATTACATTGATAGTCCCTACGTCCACCTCGTCCGCCCCACGCCTATCCTTGAATAGTAGCATGACCCTAGTCTCAAATGATCCTATTTGGTGGCCAATAATCAATTCAAATCGTGTTGCCAGCTATTTTATGGGTACGTGGAGACCAGCTCAGATGATATCTCGATCTCATCTCGGTCGTGGTGCCGCAGCTGCCGGTTCTACTGGAGTGGTATACGATTTGGGTGAGCCACATAGTCTTCAAGAACCGTTGACATCTTTATCGTATTTCTAGTGCTGACGTTGGGACAAGAGGTGGGTCGATGCCATTATTGGCAGTCATCTCGCTCAGAAGGGTATTATAGGTCGAGCTGATCTGGGTGAGCAGAGTCTCCAGTCAGAATAACAACATGGAATTTTATTTCATTTGCGGCAGAAGCAACCCTGGTCCCTGATGTCCATTCTGTATCTCAGTGTATGTGAATTCCGTTATAATTCCGCAAGTTGTGCTGACTTGAAATATCTTACATAGGTCCGATACCTTGGAGTAGTATATTCTATGTACGTTTGGTTGGTCGACCATTTGTTCTTGTGCTAATCAGTCATCTCTCGTAATCAGCATCCAGATTCTTGGTTTGTCACCTCATTCACCGTGTTCGATTCTTCTGACCAACAGCATACTACTTACAGACAGTGTTCCGACGATCTCGGTCACAGACGCAGTGAGTAGTCTGCATCGATGTCTGCCAGTCCTGTCCAATCAACCACATTCCCATGTAGGGGTAAGACTCTTGACCAGCCCATTGGTTCAATATATTAACTGTCGCAGCTGTGAGCGTGCTTCGAGTCTATGGATCTCAAGGCTGATCGCTAACTTGGTTTGTCAGGCCACTTTATGTATAACGCAATTATTTGGATGACTCTAGCCGTAAATGTAATGCTGGGTGGTGAGATCCCCTTTGTAATATTCTAGTGACATTGCTTGACTGAAACACCATCCAAGTCATTACGACGACTCGGTTATATGCAATGTATCAGCGATCCAGAAAGATGCTGATATTTCTCGTGGTCACCCTCCTGGGGGTCAACATCTCCAACGGAGTGTTGCTCGCAATTGGAATGGGGCGCGCTTCAGAGGGTAGGCTTTAGTGAAACACTTGACGGCCCAGGCTCATTGACAGTTACTTGCCAGAGGAGCTCATTTCCTTCAGCACCTACCAGTGCATTGTCAGTTACGAGGGAGATGTCCAAATTTTGAAGGCCATGCCTTGGATACTCAGCCTTGCATGGGAAGTCCTTGCATTGTGTCTCGCAGGCTGGATTGCGGTACATCACTTCCGTGATCTTCAGCGACATTCAGCAGGAGGGATTATTGGAGATTTTGTCACGGTGCTAATGAGATCACACCTGATTTATTTTTCCAGGTGAGCCCATAACGTAAATGTGTTATCTTTTCCGCTGAAACTGCGCATGTGCTAGCTTCGTTGTCGTTTCTTGCTTCTGGCTCGGTGAGGTTTCTCCGACGTTCACAACGGTATATCGATCTGTTATTGTCCTTGGCATACTACGATGATTTATCATTTCTATAGGACTTAGTTTCCCTGAAATCCGAGATTTATCGTGGGTTCCTTCAAATCATCTTGGTTGTGCAGATGTTTGTGGTGGGACCACGCCTGATCCTTAGCGTTCGACGTTATCGCGCTGAGCTCATGGCCTACCCCAGTGCAGGTACAGGCATGGTTTCAATTGCTCTACAAGAGCGCGGGCATGCATCAACTGCCAGTAGTATATAGCACGAGAAATGATCTATGCGATTAACACATGTCGGGTACTCTGTAGACTGTAGTGCGAAGAATGTCTGACACCCATATCCTTGTGGAAAGCGGGATTGATCAAGCCAACGGCTCGACGGAAATGACATTTGTTTGGCTAGTACCCCCTGCCACTCTCAGCCATTAATCACTTTGCACAGCGCCGAACACCTTCAAGTTGTGAGTGTATTTATCCTCTATCGACCTCCGGGACACCTTGCTCACCGGAGCTGTTCTGTTGTTAGTCCATTATATCTGACAACCTCACGCCTGTCCAAAATCATTGCTGATACATTGACAGGCTGAATGGTTTGGTCTACCAAGTCATGCCGACATGTCACATCGCCCATCCGTACACAACCCTAGCGAGCCTGAGCCTCTCCACGATCCCTCGTAATGATGTTCAGCATGACCCTCGTTATCTTCCCATGGTGATTCTCGCGACCCTCTGTACCTATACAACCATTGTTACCATGTCCGCCATCGTGAGGTCCTGAATCAGCGCGAAAGTAACTCTAATTTTTGATCGCGACTCTCCACCCCCGCAATGCCTTGTACCAGCTCGATTCCCGTCATTCCCGCTATCCTGGTGATTTCCCACCTCAGATATTTACAGGTTCGTGCAGAGAGTGATTTCAATATTCAGGATAGCTCTCCTGCATCGTATTTACTTGGTCACTTCAGTCACGGTAAGCGGGAACGTTCACACCCCTTGTAGCTGATGCAGCCCTGTTTGGTGGCTACTATATTTTGTCATAGTTGTTATGTCAATACCACTGCAGTACAGCTACGCACAGCCTGCTTTTGTCCCATTCAGGACATCCTCCAGAACAATAGAATCTTGCGCAGAAATATAGATGATCACACTGCCTGACTCTGATATCTTCGTGCATTGGAAAACTTCAATCTACGGGGATCTTAACAAACATAGGTATCAAATGATTGAATAACATAACATAAGTAGCAACACGAATGATGAGAATACAATAGGGTCACTATACCGACGACGGCGGGAGAACTTGAAGCTTGGTATAACGTGTTGACGAAACCGGAACCATAGAACATCGTTGTGTGGCAGAAGGTGGCAGGCCTATCAAGCAGTGGTCAGAGGTTTAACCAAATACTATTTAGCCGCCCCCGCTTTCCATATATCCTAATGTAGGGGGGACTTCGTTATCCTCAATTGTGCGTCTCCACGCATCAGTGACATTCGGCTACAGGGCCAACACCTAGGAAATGAAGACTACTTGGTGTTCTATGATTGATTTGACAACATGGCACAGGTGGGCCAATGAAAACCTCAGGCACGGATGCCGCAGATCCAATGGCCCTTACCGTTTTGCCAACATATATGTTCCCATGGAATCTGCATCATCCATGGATCATAATTGAGCAGGCATCATCTATAGCCATGAATGGAGGTCGAGGTCGGGGTATATTACTCCCTGTACGCGTACAGTACTTGTTGGGATAGAATAACGAGGAGCAGCAAGAACAATGATAACAGACTCGTCACAAGACCACAGGAGTACACTCTGGATGTTACAGAGGAGCGAAATGACGAAAGTGCAACACAAAACACAAATAATATAAGAGTGAAGAATAATGTACGTCAGACAACGGAAACAAATTCGTGTATAGAATAGCAGTTCGACAAAAAAGCATAACAGGTCCTAGCAAAGTTACGCAGTATCATGATGCACCGGGTATCAAACATACCATCGTGAAACTCAGACGAGCGCGGCAGATTGCAAGTATCCTCGGAAAATCGAGTCTCGCACTGCATGGTGGATAAGTTGCCGAAAGGCTGTGGTTGCAATTTTTAGAACATACCGTTTCCTATGATGCTTTGGGTTGCTTTGGTATCCTGAGCGGCCGCCAAGGCATCAGTCCGCGCTAAACGGGCAGTGAAATGAAAACAGAACGTACAACGACGTTGGTCAAGTGTGTGTACAGCACACGTCTGTTTTCGTTATTCCGTCTGTGGACTTGAAGAAAGTGGGCACGAAAGTACTGTACAACCGACTCGTACTCGTTTGGACGGTCGCCATACGAGAGAATGCTGAGACCAGCTTCGTGAGCACGCTATAAACGCAAATTACGAAGACCTTACTATTTCGAGACGGATAGCCCTCGTTCAAGCTTCTTTCTTAGGATATCAGTCTTGTCTGCGATGGGTAGGTTGTATTAAAACACTACATGGGACCACTAGCGTGAAACAACCCACTCAAGAATAAGACTAGATGGACCTTCTTGAGGAGCTGATTGGAGCAGATTTGTGTAAAGAGTTGAAGCGAGTCGTCGATACGGTTGGTGCGGGGGTCTTCCTCAAGGTACTGGGGAAGAAGCACCAAAGTATGTAAAGATACCAAAAAAGCAGGTGATGAAGCTCTTACCTGATCGAAAGCACTGATTGGGCTGACAAAAATGATGGCATTTGCGTCGTCGAAATATGGCACCCACGAATGACGCTGTCCCCTGGCGCCACCAACGTCAAACAGATGCCACGTCACAGTCTTGCCGTGAATGTCAACGTCGAAAATATGCTCAGCGACACCCATAGTTTGGATACGTGCATGGAGAATATCGTCTATGAAGAGGTGAGCACAAAGACATCGGCTCGACGAAAACGCGCACCAGTGGACGGCACATAATTCCGTGCAGAGATGCGTGAGATGTCATTCAAGAAACTGCGTAAAATTCCATTTTTAGAGAAGAGGAAGATGCATATATGCACATACTCACAACTCTGACCACTCGTCTAGCTTTAATTTTCGGCTTGTCATCAAGGCACGAACAACCTGGTTCTCCCACAAGGTTCGGATATCTTCCCTTGATTGTTCCAGCATTCTTGCGACGTCATCCACAAGAGGGTCAGCATCAATAACTGACAGAGCTGTTCCGGGACGCTCAATCGTCAGTTCGTCCTCGGGTGAACTGGGCTTTGGTTGCCTGCGGAGTAGCTTCTGACCTTTTTGGATGGTCCTCGCCTGCCATCCGCTTCGAACGTAAACTTCGCCTTTGCCGGACCCCGACACAGAAACACCCCCACTCAAGCGATCAGCAAGCTGAGGCTCGGTATTTGTGAGTGGTAAAAGCCGTCGCCGAAGATCCGATATCGCAGTAGATCCCCGAATGGGACTAGAAGCAGTTGGACTAGTGGGTGATGTAGGTGACGGCGGTGAAAGGGCAACACCGATTTGTGAACTGTGTATACTGGGTGTTGCCGAACTTGAAGCCCGGGGGGGAAGATAATCACCGAGTTCCTGACGCTCGAGAGTGCTCTGAGAGTCACTCCCATCATCGATGTCGTCCCAAGCTTCTAGGGTTGTAAGGATCTTTTTGATGGATCGCACGACATTGAAATATACGACGGTTCTCCATGACATGCGCTCGCTTTCAAGAGAAGCAGGGCTATACATGAGCTGGAACTGCTTTTGCAGTGTCGATTTGCCAGATTCGGCCTGGCCGAGGAGAAGTAGCTATCGCATACGACGGTGATTAGCTCCACAACCTAATCGTGCTCAAAAAGACTTGAAATGACCTTGACATCACTTTTGGACTTTTTCAATTTTTCCCTCTCAAACCTGAGTTCCTCGTCTATTTGTTCTGAGATTCGACGCGCTTCAGCTTCGTGCTGCAGCCGAACATGGCGATCTGAGTCTGATTCTTCAAGAGGAGGCCGTATAGCAAGAGACAAGGGGTCATCTTGACTACGAATAGAAGAAGTTCGCATCATCGTGGTACAGAGGCAAGAGCTGAGTGAGGCAAAAAGCCGTTGATATTACTTATCCGAATTGAATGGCTTTGAGAGAACTATTAAAGACCAAGCAGTCACAGCCCGTTGCGTCACAGTCACATTATCACGCATGGTAATTCTCCTCTCCTCCATCAACGCATCTACTGACTCACAGTTTTCTTGTAGTCTGTAACGCTTCACACAAGCCACGGCGAGCTTAAGGTGCGCCTATATATGCCTAACTAAATCTCTGCGATTCACCCGGAAATTTTGGGTGATTCAGATCGAGATATTCTGTGAGGCTGTCCCAAAAACGGCAGAGGTATGACACTGTTTCTGTTTATCTCTCTTCCGAGCCTGACAAGCCCTAGAACTTTCTTGCGCTGTGCGCTTCGAATTATTATGACAACTGTATATTTCACCGCAACATCAAAGGTTTCATGACCCAAACGGGCGATCCTTCTGGCTCTGGAAAAGGTGGCCAAAGCAAATGGGGAAAACCATTCGAAGACGAATTGCGGTCCACGTTGAAGGTAATGGATACGATCTTTGCCGAGCAGATGGATCTTCACGTTTCTACATAGTTTAACAATCGTGGTATTGTTGCCATGGCAAACTCCGGCCCCGACACGAGCAAGTCGCAATTCTTCATAACCTATGCAAAACAGCTTCATCTGGACAACAAATATACGATCTTCGGCAAGGTCATCGATGGTGCGGACTCCACACTTGATGCTATGGAGCGCGTTCCTGTGAACAATAAGAACAGACCGCTCTCCGAGATCAAATTGACACATGTATGTTATCACTAGTGGACTAGGCACCAGGTGTGCTAATGTGATCTTCTTTGATGATCATTAGGTGACTATCCACTCGAATCCAATTGCGGACGCTCTGTTAGTTCCACGCTGATCCTGAATGTGAACCTTCTGTATCAGTTTGAGTGCAAACTCCAAAATCGTTACATCCGATGGATTTCCTTTACTGCTGTAGAACACCCGGGGTATGCTAACGCTTGATAAATCCAACCAGCTCTTTCTGCAGCTCTCTTTGCTGTCGCGCTTTTTCTAGGTCATCTACGCTCCGTAGATCATAGACAATATCACGAGTTTTCCCGAAGTACACCTGTGGTGTGATCAAGTCCCTGAATGTCGAAAGAAAGAAAACTTCGTACCTCCTGGAGAAGATTTCTCATTTTCATTTCCATCTCTTCGATCATCTTTCCTGTGTTCGTAATATGTGAAGTCGGTTCATGAACGGGCCAATCCTGCTCGGTCTGCGTGAAGTGAAGGTGTGTGACAGCCCCATCTCAGGTTAGACGAGGAAGCCTACCTGTCTCGTCATGCTTCCACTTAAAGTAATTTCCCCCGACGACTTCCATCCCTGCTCAGAAACCCTTTTTTCTGGTTCGCCGAGAACGGAGGTTTCATCGGCCTTATTGTTCTGTTTCGTCACGAGCTCTAACATGACAGTAGATGTGAGCTTGTAGTGCGCTTGTCTTCCGCGCTCCGCGGTCTCGAAGACGTGGATCGAGTCCCATGAACCTGAGGGCTCGTCAGGACTTGTGGGTGTCATTGCTAAGGTGCAGGCAGTTAAAGACTTGATCTCAGAACGGTAAAAACACATCAGTCCGCTACCTACCCTTCTTGAGCAACACAACGCCTGCAAAGCCGCCATCTTCGAGGTCCCAAAGATAAACAGAAGACACGCCGCCTTCGTAATATCTATTGCCAAGATTTATTAGATAATACCTGTGCAAAGATTCATTGCAAGCGTAAGCTATGTATCACACGTACAGTTCGCGGTATGTATCGAACGCCTCATTGGCGGCAATCTCAAGCTTGCGAAGCTTCGGTGTTGGTGCTGTACCATCTTCTATGGGTGGATCGTATTCATTCGACCAAGGTGACCTGATGAAGTGTGTTAATATGTGAAGCACATTGACTCAGATACGTGAAATAGGACTAGAGTCCTTGTCGTTCCACGAGATCCAACTTATGCAGTCACCCTGAACATTCACCGGAAGCGCAGCAGAAGACTCACCGATAACTATCACCATCCCTGTTGTAATCGCATGCAAGATAATCCTTCCCTGTTGCGCGGTCTGTCTTGACCTTCAGGGCTGGTCGACACTACCTAGAAGGTCATCTGCATAGTCCGGGCAGATCTGTATGAGTGCATTCACGTTCTCCTCGACATTGGTAGGTGGAAGACGACGCATCAGATCGAGCATTGAATCAACTGGGTCTGGCCCTTCTGCCATCGCGAACTGCTCTGTGGATGATCGTGTGAGCTTAGACGGAATAATTGATCAACGAACTTGTTGAAGGAAACTGGTGTTCTACTGATCGAGTCGCATCTGGGTTCTGAACAGCATCCGGCGGCAAGGCCAAAACAGGATGTAAGTCGGCCTTTCTATTTTCTTCCGAAGCGCTTTACCACAACAATCAATGGCGATTGAACTATTCTCCTTTTCTACAGAGTTGATATGGCACATCCTACTAATTCTTACTCCAAAGGATATTTGTCGCTGTGCAATAGTCGGTTGTTCCATGTTGCTTCTCAGACGAACTTACTTCTAGTTTCAATGTCAGACCTGCAAGGCCTTCTGGAACGTGATCCAGAATTCTGTACACATTCAATACAAGCTTGAGCTTTATACTCAGGGCTTCACTGAGACCGCTACCCTGGACTCGATCGGTGTCTCCAGAAAGATGTCCTTGCTCAAGAAATCGGCATCTTTGTGGCGGTCTGGCTTGCATTTGAACACCGTCTTCGAAGAACAAGTGATGATTTCTCCCCTCCCCGTACATTATTCACTACCATTGTCATTGTCCAGCATGAAGTGTGGTCTTTTATGGATGTCGGCACATGGCAATCTCTTCATTAGGGACTATAACACAAATACCAACCTTTCTCGAACATGGGCCTTACATAGCTTATCCTCTCAGCGCCAACCGGAAAATCTTACTATCGACCCTCTGCAAGACCTTGTGGTCACAGTCTCCTCGCCTGATGTTGTAACCGTGACCGACGCCGAACAAGATCACCGTGCCTTTTGGGTGGAGTGTTGGTCAGCTTCATCCCACCGTCCCCATCCGGACTCTGTCTGCGCTTCCTTAGAGTGCAAACATACTTTTGATGTCCCTGGCGGGTACTATGTTCATTTTATTGGAGAGCCTGCAATCTGCGGTGATCATATATTTGTCTACTATGACATACAGCACCGTGGTACAATTGCTGTGTCGTTCATCAAAGTCATTGATTGGAGGAGGGGACATGTAAAGAGTGTGAGTGCATTTATTCTTGAGAATTCTGCCGCTTAGTATAGGCAGCATCTTTTACTAGACCATCAAGATTTCCACCATAAATTCTACGTAGTCGACCAACGGACGATTGTTGTCATCAGCTCGAGCCGTCTAACTGTGTACACACTACAGGAATTCGACGGGTCGTTGCGGCCGAGACTCACATATCTCCTTCCGAAGTGTTACCATTCATCCTTTATATATGTTCGTGCCGGTCCATCGTTCAGCAGCACAACCGCTCGCACAGATCTTACGCCCGGCTATGTGCCCTCTCTGGAGTCACAATCATTGTCTTAGAGCTCCTCTCATACCCGCGCACGACGTCTGTCTTTCTAGGCATTGATACGGTGATTTTCCCGGGAATGGCCCTGCAATCAGAGACGCATGTCGAGATTCCCTGGTCCGACTGGGGACCCCAGCATACGTGCTGCTTTCCGCATGAGCGCAGCCACAAAATCAGCGTGTTCGGTAGCAGAATGGCATATACCCCTGAAGCTGGACAAAGACTGGAAAAACTCTCCCCTCAGGATCACTTCTACGTCCATATCTGGGACTTCAATAAACGAGCGATTGCTCGTTTGGAGAATTTCTACAATCCCGACTCACCAGGCCTACTCATTCGTAAACCTGGTAGGGTAACTCAGTCGTGCTTTGATGAAGAAATCATCTCGAATCACCCTTACACTGCTACCGTCTGCCGTACTCGATTTTTGATGGGTGGCTTGCTCAAATTATTCTTAGAACAGGATCGACTTATCTTGACCTCGGTAGGTTTTCTTAGTTGTGAGCACAACGATGGTTTAATGTGACCATACTACAGCGGACTGGTACTGGTACAGTCGATATTCAAGTCGTCTCCCCTGTATAGGTGAAGGTTGGAATTAATTTCAGTGGTGCAGGATGAACAACAAGTCACCGCGCCTCATGTCACCAGTCTTGTGTAAATTAACATCACCGTCGAATCAGACTGTTTGTATTTCCATCAGTGGCGCACTGCTGTTCAGTTTCTCCTGATACATTGAACTTGGTAGGCGGGAGACGACCCATTAGATCGAGTAGGTTTTGCCCTATGCTTTACTCTGCGGACGGGCGGATTCGCCTGCACGGAAAATTTGTTATACGAAATTGAAAGTAGTCGTGGACAGCATCCGGCAGTCTAGAACGTCTCAGACACTTACGAAATGGAAAAAGCCCTGCCCTGAATCTTCTTGCCGTCTAAGACCTATCACTACCGATGTAACTGAGCTAGTAATATGTGACATCCTTCTCCAAGGGACATTTGTCGTTGCACAATAGTCAGCCGTTTCCCCATTATTCCATGTTTCCTCCCATGGAGTCCTAGGTGGAATGCGGCGTGGAATCCTGTAGATGTCCTTCAGCCAGGGCTTCACCGAGACCACTAACCTGGACTCGTTTTCAAAAAGACTCAAGAAAGAAAGAAATTGACATCGTTGTGACGGCCTGCCTTTCATTTAAACACTGCTTTTGATGAAGCAGTTGTTGATGTCACCTGTGAGCCTGCGTTCGGGTCAGATTTCGTGCCATGGCAGCAGTACGTGAAGTGTGGGCTTTGACGGGTAGAGGACCAGATTGGTCTCTTCAATATTCGGGACTGTAACACAATACCAATCTTTCCCGGACGAGGCCCAGACGCAGCTAGCTGCTATGGTTCTAATGATCTCACTATCGACCCTCTGCCGCAGGATCCCCTAGTCATGGCGGTCGTTGTCTTCTCGCGTGATAATGTTGTCGCTGTGGCTGACGCCGAACAATATCACAATGTCTTTTGGGTGGAGTGTCAGTCAGCTTTGCCCTGCCTTGGAGTGCACCTGGCTCGTACCACGTTCGTTTTGTGAACAGACCATGTAATATGTGGTAATCGTATATTTGTTTACGATTACATAGGAGACATGGATGTTGTTCCTGTGTCTAGGGCCTTCAAAGTGATTGTTTAGAGGAAGGGATATGCGAAAAGTGTGAGTGCCTCTATTCTTGAGAAGTGTCCCGCTTAGCACAAACCCTTTATGTCTACCAGGCACCGACGGGGCTGAGGAACCTCTTCATCTAGTTAGCGAACGGACCATTATTATAACTGACTCGCAAGGCCGAATAACCTTGTTCACATTAGAAGGCATCGATGCGCAGCCTCAGCGTCCTTCTACATCCATATCTAGGATTTCAACACGAGAATTATAGTTCGTTCGGACATATCCACGATCCCGACTCACCAGACCTCCCCATTCTCAAACCTGGTGTGGTAGCTCGTGTTTCGATGGAGAAATCATCTCTGATCATCCTTACACTGCTAGTGTCCGACAGATGCCTTTGCTGGCGAATTGCCCCCAGTTATTCTTGGAACAGGATCGGTTTATTTTATCTTGGGTAGGTGTTCTCAGTTTGCATACTGCGATAATTTGAGGCCAAACTGTAGGTACGACTTAACAGGAGTGATATTTAGCTCGTTTACCCTGCGCAGATGAAGGTCGTGTCAGAACCACAGACTAGAATAAATTTCAGCGTTCTATGATAAACAGCAAGTTACAATATCTCATGCCCTGGTCTTGTGTAAATTGATCCTTACAGTTGTATATTTGCATTATCCTCGACCTTGGTTGGTGGGAGATGTCCATCAGATCGAATTTTGTTGAGTCAATCGGATCTGACGCCTCTTTCATATCTTATGCGGTGGTCGGATGCGTTTGGAACGAAGGATAGATATGCAATTTTGAAAGGAACTGCGTATCCCGTCTCGTCGAGCAATAGTGAACAGCATCCGTAGGCCAAAACAGGAAGTCAGATCTTACTCTCAACTTGAAAGGTCCACTGTAAAAGTATTTTCTTCTTCTCAGACCATCAAGATGGCGGTCGAATTTTTCTCCCTTCCTGCAGAGTTAATATGCCACATCCTATTATTCCTTGCTCCAAAGGATATCAGTCACTGTGCAATGGTCGGTTATTTTCCGCTGTTCTATATAGCTTCCTAGACTAATTTACTTGTGTGTTCAACACCAGACCTGCAAAACCTTTTGGAATGTGGCCCAGAATTCTGTAGACATTCAATACAAGCTTGAGCTTTACGCTCAGGGCCTCACTGAGACCGCTACTCTGGACTCGATCAGTCTTTCCAGAAAGATGTCCTTACTCGAGAAATTGACATCATTGTGGCGGTCCGAGTTTCATTTGAACACCGTCTTTGATAAGGCAGTGGTTGCTGCTGCCATCGACGGACTTCCCCCATGGCTGCAATATTCATCATGGACACAATCCGTGAAGTGTGGCCTGTGGTGGATGTCGACACATGGCGGCCTCTTCATTCGAGACTGTAACAGAATTCCCAACCTTTCCCGGACGTGGCTCAAACACAGCCTATTGTCTCCGGACCAGCCGCCGATTCGTCTTACTGTTGACCCTTTGCAGGATCTCGTGGTCTTAGTTTTCTCGACTGTTTTTGTCGATGTGGCCGACACCGAAGAAGATCACCATGTCTTTTGGGTGGAGTTTCGGTTAGCTTCATCCCAGAATCCCCATCCGCATTCTGTTTGCATTTCCTTGGAGTGCACGCATACTTTTGATGCGCCTGGTTTGTATCATGTCTTTGTGACAGCGCCTTCGATCTGTGGTGATCGTGTATTTATCTACTATTACTTGAAAAACATGGAGAACATGACTGTCTCCACCACCTTCATACAAATAATTGATTGGAGGAAGGGATATGCAAAGAGGGTAAGTGCCTCTCTTCTTTCCAAACTCCGTCGCTTAGTATAAGCAGTGTCTTTTACTAGGCGGACTAGATAATCTGCAACAAGTCCACGCAGTCAACCAAAGGACGATTGTTGACTTTGGCTTGAACTCTTTAACCGTGTACACATTACAGGAACTGGATGGGTCACTGCATCCCCGGCTCACGTATCTCCTTCCGAAGTGTCGTCAATCAGACATGCGATTCACGGTTGTTCATGCCAGCCCATCGTTCTGTGGTACAGCTGCTTGCACAGATCTTATGCCCGGCCATGTGCCCTCTCCAGAATCACAAATCTTGGTTTTAGAGTTTCTTTCAGGCCCACAATGGCGCCCACTGTCTGTCATTCTAGTCATTGATATGATCATCTTTTCTGGAATGGCTTTGCAGTCGGAGACGCATGTCCAAATTCCGTGGTCGGAATGGGGACCCCAGCACACGTGTTGCTTTCCGCACGACCGAACCCACCAAATTAGTGTGTTCGGTAGCAAAATAGCCTATGTCCTCCCTCAAGATCATACCCCTGAACCTGGACAAAGACTAGAAGAACTTCCCGACGAGGGTCACTTCTACATCCACATCTGGGACTTTAATACGCGACTCATTACTCGTTCAAAACATATCTACAATCCTGACTCATCAGACCTCCCCATTCGCAAACCTGGTGTGGTAACCCAGTCGTGCTTTGATGAAGAAATCATCTCGAATCATCCTTACACTGCTATTGCCTACCGTACACCTTTTCCAACGAATGGCTTCCGCAAGTTGTTTTTGGAACAGGATCGTCTAACTTTAATATGGGTATGTGTTCTTATTTTTTTGAACCCAACGATGATTTAATTCGGCCAAACTGCAGTCACGAATTGGCGCGGTTGATATTCAGGTCGTCTCCCCTGCACAGACCGAGGTTGGGTCTGTAAATGTATTTGTAGACGAATTATGAAATGCCATGGATCTTCAATGTCTCGAATAGACACCAATTACTTCCATGATGTCCTTCATTCTGCTGTGCAATTGACTGACAGATGTCTAGTGGTTGTAGTATGGCCATTCACACCCCATACAATACAGCCAGTGCCAGTCTGAGCGACCTCCATCGGCTGCAAACGTCACGGTAGGAATTGATCTAGGTAGCAAGCCCCAGAACGCACCCGAAAGTTCATGCCATCAGTCAGAGCACGCCTCCCCTCACACCCAACCTGGCATGTCACATCCCCACACCCTTGCAAAGGTACCTTGTCAAAGCATGCTGAGCATTCTGTCGCCGAGAGCGCTTTCACGACGTATATTTATCTGACGATATCATGCTAATCAGTATCGAAACCAGTCTGCGATGGCCATACATGCAGAAGTAACAACCGCCGATCCATCAAATAGAGTCGTAAGTTCACAAAGCATCGGACTGTTCTTCTATCACCATAGTTTAAAGTCCACTTCGCAACGCCAAATAGCTCAATAAGTAACCAGCACTAAATTTTGAATCAAGAAAAAACCTGTCCCCCCTGCAGAGCACTAGACTACCGTTAACTTCATCGACCATGCTACACACCACTGCCAGTTGATATATGCACACGCTCCTGGAAAGCGATCGAGTTCATGCCGGCTGTTGTGTCGGAGCCGACTACGAGCCTAACGTGATATTCTCGAACGCTAAGGATCAGGCGTGGTCCTAACACAAATAACCGCGAGACTGTGAAAATTTTTAGAAACCCAGCATAAATCTGAGTTTTTAAGGAAGATTGATCCTATAGAAATGATGAACCGTAGTCTCATGCAGAAGTAAGTGTAAGATTGACATACCGCTGAGATTGTTGGAGACACATAACCAATCTCAAAGCAAGAAGCCGCAACAGAGCTAGCATGTCCGATGCTTCAGCGGAAAAAGGCAACCATGTTCACGATGTGAGCTCACCTCGCAAAGTAAAGCACGTGAGATTTTATCAACACCGAGAAACAGTCCCCGATCACCCTTCCTGCCGAATGTTGTCGCAGTTCACGGAAGTGTTTTAAAGCAATCCAGACTGCGAGACACAGCGCGAGGACTTCCCAAGCAGTGTAAAGTATCCAAGTAATGATACCCAGAAGCAGGGTATCTCCCGCATAGGCAATCGTGCATTGATGGGTGCCGGAAAGAATGAGTTCCTCTGGTATTCAAAAATAAGCTCCATGCACTGTTTTCATCCGCAATTATGCATACCCCCTGTGGTGTGTCTCGTGTACATTGCGGCGACTACTCCAGTGTAAATATTGTCGACCAGGAAGGTGATCACAAGAAATATCAGCATCTTTCTGGACCGTTGGTACATGGCATGTAACCGAGTGATCATGATGACTTGCAAGATGTTTCAGTCAAGTCAATATCACTGAGCCCTGCAACTGAAAAGCTCACCCCCCAGCATTGGAAATACCACAACATTTGTCCAATTCAGTACGTCGTACAGAATCCAGCCTGACGAATCCAATTAGTGATCGGCCTCGGGTGGATCACACTCCGAACAGACTCACATCTGTGGCGGTTATTATAGTGAACTGAGAAGCTGGTCATGAATCACACTTACCCCTACAAGGCGCCGCGGTTAATTTGAGGGGAATAGCAGGTATCGGTAGAAAAGACTCACTGCATCTGTCACCGAGATCGTCGGAACACTGACTGTATGCCGCCGGTCAGAAGAAACAAACACGGTGAGTTCGAAGACACAGATACAGAATCTGGACGCTGATCGTAAGGGATGGTTCGTTAGTATAACGACAGTGCTGAGCCTTCCGAACATACACGGCATATAATATTCCAAGATAGCGTGCCTAGGACATTTTCAAATCAGCACAACTTTCCAATCACACTACTAGCACGTACACTGAGATACAGAACGGTCATAAGGGACCAACGTTGCCTCTGTTGCAAATCAACGCTGTTCTTCTGAAACGAGATGCTGCTCACCCATATCAGTTCGACCTATGAGATTATTCTTAGCGAGATGGTTGCTCTGGTCATTGCATCAACATACCTCTTGTCCGAGTGTAAGTGCTGGAAGTACTTGTAGAATAGTATCAGCAGTGTTATAATATCATCATGCTCACCCCAATCATACGTCACACCAGCAGAGGCAGCAACTGCAAAACCGCAGTCAAGGTTAAATCGAGACATTAGCGTCAACATCCGACTGCTCTCCAGTGTCTTCACGAACCTACAAAATAGCTGGAAACACGATATGAGTCGATGTACGACCACCAACTGGGGTTGTCTGACACTAGTGTCATATTGTTAGAAGAAGTTAGAAGACGGATGCGAGGGAGCGGCGAATTTGATGAACATATAACGATGGCGTTGGTGCTAGATATAAGTACCACCAGCGCTTATAACTCAGTGTCAATCAAAGTACTAGTAAATGAATGTTAGTGGAACTGCAAAACAGGCACACGTGCGGAATGTTTGAGAACGATCGAAGAGCTGTCCATGATCAATTGATTTTAACACCATCTCTAGAATATGAACATAAATAACAGGGCACGAGAAAAGCATGACCCCGGCCCGGACGTTACCCCTATAATTAAGACCATGGGAGGCCTTATATTTAAGCGAAGCTGCACAGCTCGTGTCATAAAATGATGGAACGTACGCAGTAAGGGTAGTGCCACTCTGATGAAAACACACGCTGCACTACATCCATCGTGCCATCGATAAATCGTGGAAGGTGGGGACCAAATAATTTGCACTGTTTGCGGTGTAGGGCTGTGGGTAGTCGAAACAGGATATGCGAGTATGTACAAGATCGGCGTCGACCACTGATCCGCAAAGCCTTATAGTTATCCGTGGCCAAATGATCTGCGGCGTTCTCAAGGAGCGAATCAAGAATATAGTGTCAGATTGCAAACAGACGCCCAATGATTAGTGGCAAATAGCTATTGCTCCTTACCCCAAAGAACCAATCAGCAGTATTTATCTGTTGGAGCGGTGTATCCGCGACTGTGCCTAGAAATTAGCACCACTGTCACAGCGGTCTAGCTTACATTTGAACAAAGTGGCAGTGGTTGCAGCTGCAATGCAGTGTTGATGGAACGCAATACCGTGGGAATGCTGTGAAATGCGGATGAACAATGGGGATAAATTTCAACCCGGCATAAACCCCGAGCTTGTTCTCTCACAAGTCACTACCGGCCACTGAGTTGTCTTGCTCTCGACCCCCTGCAGGATCTTTTGGTTGTTATCTGGGTGGAGTTTCAGTCAGCTTTATTTCAGTGTCCCCACCTCAACTGTCTGTGGTTCCCTGGAATACACCTACATGAACATACTTTTGATGAACTTGGCCCATACCTTATCCGTTTTCTGGAAGATCCCACTATCAAATCTGTGTGTTCGGTAGTAAAATGGCCTATACCCTTGCTCAAAGGTCATATCCCTGAACTTGGAAACACTCTCTGCTGAGCTCCTTCGATATCCATCTCTGGGACTTCAATAAATGACTGGTTGCTCATCCAGAAGGCATAACTTGGCCTGGTGTTGCTTCAGGACTGTGGGCCCTTTTGTGGGGCCCTTCATTGTCCTGAATAGCTATAGGTGTTGAAACTGTACTCTGTTCGTTGGTGTTGCCAAGGACAGATGAAGAAGTAGATATGCTACAATTATTGGGATGAGCAGGGAAAGGATGTTGTCCATGGTTAATTCCATTGCAGCTGATGGGGGACAGCTTTCAAGGGAGAGACATGATGAAGGCTTATATATATATGGTCTGCTGATATCTGGTCTACAACCTTTTTTTACTCTGTGCTGTTGCAAGGTTGATATTAAGGCCATTTCCCCTAGTATGTCAGGTCCGACCTCACAAATTAGAATAAATTGCAGCAGAAACACCAAGTCCCATGATCATGGTTGGGTATTAGACAGCCTCACTAAATAGTTATCTCCTGTGCAATAGAATGTCGCTGCAGCCATCACCTACGCAGTCCCATAATCATCTTCATGCTTCTTATCTTGTATGCGCTGTGAAGAAGTAATAGGTACTAGGCTGTTAGCAACTAGCACTACTTATCCTTAAGAGGCACGAGTTTAATTGATCAGCCCAAGAGGACTGCTATTGAAGCACTTCCTTCAATTATGCGCAAGGGAAGTAAGTGAGTGAAGGGGTTAAAATCTATATTGGCCTAAGAAACTTGAACACTGGCCGTAGGTATACCTCTGAATTCCTATACCAAGGAATCGACTGGGAGTGCAGGCAAAAATTGACTGTTGTTAATAAAAATCAACTGCGCTCTATGGAGCGGCCAGTCACAAGGGATATAGCGCGAGTGAAGAATAGCACTAAACTACCAGTCACGGGTTGAGTATTCTTGCTGAGCTTAAGGGTAAGATCCTAGCAGTACGGACTTCAGAATGGTCAAATCACGCAGGATTGTCAGGAAGGAACAAAATAGATGGATAGCGCAAGGTCTACAAAATAACGCAAGAATCACTCTCCTATAGAACCAATTCTGGGGGAAGAAAAACTACTTCATTGTATGTACTGCAGTCGTTTATATCGTAGTGCGTGAGTGTCCAGAATGCATAGGCGAGAATTGTAGCATGGTTAGTGAGTGCACAATGAGTCTATAGGTAGTAAAACATCATGCACTGCGGAATGTGAGTAGTCGTGTAATAAGACCTGCAGCTCATTTAGCAATGACATTTGGGAAAATAACGCACCAGTGGAGATAGGTGGACATGGATAGGACATGGGAGGACGGATTCCTAGGACTGGACCGGAGTAAGAGCAGATGGGTTGATATATATGGATTTAATGATCCACACTTTATCTCCTTTTTCTGAAGGTGAGAAAAACTGTGCTATTGATCATACGCGCCTAGCACCAGTCTGATCGTCACAGTGCCCTGTCCCTTTCTCAAATCTTTCCAGCTTGTTATGCACATTCGCCAGTTCCATGATGGTGAATTTTTGAAACCGATAATAAT